CGGAGGTGGGCGTGGAGGCTTGCAGGCGGCGGCGGCGGGCGGCGGGCGGCGGGTCGGGCGGTCCCTTCAGGCACCGGGTGATCCGCTGTCTCCCCAGGCGGGTCGGCTTCCGACTGGCGGCGACACCGGTGTGCGAAGTGACTCCGGACAGGGTGGCTTCAGAGTTTTAGGAGCCGGGGGGTGGGGGGGGCGGGGCGCGGGGTTCCGGGAAACTCCGAGCGCGCGTCGGTGTCGGGGTGTAGCCCTGGAAACGTAGGCCTGACCCCTGACCTCACCTCGCCGGCTTTACGGTAATCTGGAAAATCCCTGGCTCCAGAAATAGATGTAGACTGAGAACGTTACGCCCGCGACTTCACGGCACGAGGGAGTCTAAATCCCAGATTGTTCCTACTAGGAAAGTGACGGCTTGATTACACTATCCCTGTGTCAACTTAACAAACACAGCTCTCGCCTTCCTTCCATGGGATTTGAGGTAACCTACAATTGTGTTCTCCGGACCATGGTCAAAATGGCTCCAGGATAAACCATTTCTTTCTTTCCTTTTTCTTTCTTTCTTTTTTTTTTTTCCGGTTTCTCTGTGTAACAGCCCTAGCTGTCCTGGAACTAGCTCTTGTAGACCAGGCTGACCACGAACTCACAGAGATCCACCTGTCCCTAGTGCTGGGATTAAGTGCCTGTGCCATCACCGCCCGGCATAACCCATTTCTTAATTCCCTTAGGGATAAGAGCTGTAGTTTTTATGTCTACACTAAAACTCCCAAATGGCTAAGGCCGACTTTGGAACAGCTGATCCTCCTGCCTCCATCTCTGGAGCCTGTCTGGATACCCAATGATCTTTATATTCTAGTCCAGCCCTCTGATTGCCTTCTCCAGGGAGAAGGAAAAATCTTTGTCTTAGTACACATCTTGGGAATTGTTTTGTTTTATTAAGGCTTAATTTCTTGATGAAAAGTGCCTTAACTTTGTACCTATAGAGTATGAAGAATTTAAATAAGTTTATTTACTATTTAGATACTATTTGTCAGTGATGTCACCAAAATAAGATTTTTGGGGAGAGAGGAGGTTCGAGACAGGGTTTCTCTGTGTAGCCTTGGCTGTCCTGGAATTCGCTCTGTAGGCCAGGCTGGCTTTAAGTCAGCTTGTTTTTTTTGCTGGGTGTGTTTGGACAAGCACTCAGGAGACAAAGGCAGGTGGATCTCTGAGTTCAGGCTCAGCCTGGTCTACATACGGAGTTCCAAGTCAGTCAGCTATAATAAGCTTCTCAAAGCAAACCCCTTAAAAAAACAAAACTTTGTATAGGGCTGGAAGTGGTGACATAGGCCTCATAAGTCCATGATTCTGATAGCGGTTTATTTTATTTTGTTGTTTGTTTTATTTTTTTTTTCAAGACAGGGTTTCTCTATGTCCTGGCTGTCCTGGAACTCGCTCTGTAGATCAGGCTGGCCTCGAACTCAAAGAGATCTGCCTGCATGTGCCTCCACTGACCAACAATTCTGCTAGCTTTTTGTCACTGACAGATTCCTGAGAAAATTCACAGTGAAGCTTTATTTTGGTTTTATGGTTTCAGATGTTTGAGGTTAGTCAGATGGCCCTATATCCTGTGGGCCTTTGTCCAGGCAGAAGTTTATGCTGTGAGGACTTGGTGAAAGCAACGCTCACCACCCACAAAGGGAAAATCCCCAAGTCCTAATTGCTTGTCCAGCTATGATCTCATCAGTGGATTAACCCATTTATGAGGTGTATGGCTTTGTGATGAAGTCACCTCTCACTACTGGGCAGTGGTGGCACATGCCTTTAATCCCAGCACTCGGGAGGCAGTGGCAGGTGGATCTCTTGAGTATGAGGCCAGCCTGGTCTACAGAGTGAGTTTCAGGACATCCAGGGCTGTTACACAGAAAAACCCTGCCTCAAAAAGAAAAAAAAATCACCTCTCACTGCCACTACCTAAGGAGATGATCCTCAAACAGGATCTGTGGCGGACATTTCATAGCCAAACCTTTTGTGCAAACATGAGAGAGACACATCCAAGGAAGAACTGTGTTGTCCAACAGAACTTTTCCTGGTGAGATACTACCCACAGTGTCTACTCACCCCAGGTAGGGAACCCACCACAGACCAAACCAAAGTCCAACATGGTGAACCAATGAGTTTGGTTGGTGTTAAAGGAGTATTGGTGAAGTGTTTATTTTCAGGAGCAGAAATGACGCAAAGATAGCTGCATCACCAAGTTTAGGTGTATTTTAGGTTCAACACAACTTGGTGAAATGTTTCCTGGTGATAACTCAGTCTTAAACAATAAAACAACATGTGATTTCATGGAAACTCTTTGTAAAGTATATGTGACATCGTCCATAAAGATGGGTTCTATAGATTGATTACATGTGACTCATTCCGTAATGATAGATTCTATAGATTGACACACTTGTAATAAAGGTCTGTAGGAGAATCTGATGTAGTCTTTGGGCCACACAACTGAAAAGGTCCCCAGGTAATTAACCAAGTCTGCTCCCAGCCATATGGGGTGGTTAACAGGTAACACAGCCCTTCATTTGAAGGAATGGACCTGTGTTTAACATTCCTAGATCCTAACCTGAAGTTAATCGCAGCACTCTGGAAGCAGAGGCAGTCTGGATCTCTGAGTTTGCAGGCCAACCTGGTCTACAGATGGGTTCCATGACAGCCAGGGCCACACAGAGACCCTGTCTGCGGCAAGGGAGGGGGGAGATTTCTGGTACCTATGAGCCCAATTCTTCCCACAGGAAGAAATGGCTTAACATGTTATACAGACCTGCTCCTCAGTAAGTCACAAAACTATCGAGAAACTCTGTCTTGAAAAACACAAACAGGAGAAAGAGGCAGCTGTAGGCACGCCTGTAGGCATTTCTTAACCAGTGATTCATAGGGGAGGGCCCTGACCACTGTGCACGGTGATGTCCCTGGGCTGGTGGTCCTGGGTTCTATAAGAAAAGCACACTGAGCACAAGCTATGGGGAGCAAGCCAATAAGCAGCACCTCTCTATGGCCTCCGTATCAGCTTCTGCCTCCAGGTTCCTGCGCTGTTTGGAGTTCCTGTCCTGATTTCCTTCATTGGTGGACTGTAATGTGGAGATACAAGTCTTCCCCAAGTTGCTTGTTTACGGTGTACATCAAGTCATAGTAACTAAGATTAGTTTGTAACTCAAATCTGTTTGTCTTAGCTTCCATGTGGTAAAACTACAGGCATATTTCACCACACCTGGTCCCAAAATGTGATGAAGTTGGATAAGGCTTTGTCTAAGAAGGTTTGAAGGACCTCTATCATACATTACTAAGTGAACAAAAGGAAGTTCTGGGGCTGGGGAGACATGTCAACAATCCAAGAGTGCTTACTGCTCTCACAGAGGACCTGGGTTTGATTCCCACAGCCCACCTTGGTGGGTCACAGCCAGCCTACTCCTGGAAATCTGATGTCCTCTTCCGGCCTCTGTAGGTTTCTGCACACATGCGGATATGAATTCAGGCAAGCATACACATGCATAAAAATAAGTAGTGAAATGAAGTTCCAGTGTAATAAATATGTAATGACCCCCTGTACATGAAATTAAATTATACGCTGAATGGGAACAGAAGTGTAGCTTGTTGGTAAGAACACGCACAAACAAGAATAGCAAAGAGGCCTGGGTTCAATCTTCAGAACAACAAAACCAATATGTTGGAATGGAGGTGGGTGGGAAGGAGGTGTTCCTGGTTCTCTTTGTATACTTTATACAATTCTACACTTGGTCTTAGCCAAAAGGCCAAGAAGCAGTACAATTCTTAACCTTTCTATAGTGAAGAAACAATTCTTCCAACTTCGTATAAAAGATAATAAAAATTGATAAGGATGAATTACTAGTCAGATGAAACTTCAAGACATAAAATGCAAGCCTGAGTTATCATTAGCCTAAGCAGAAATATTCGGTCAGCATGACATTGTCAGTGCAAAACACAACTCCAGACTCCAAAGTTGTAAGATAGTTTAGTTTATTCTGAGCCAAATATGAGTGCCCATGACCCAGTGTGCTGACTAGTTTTATGTCTGCTTGACACAAGCTATAGTTATCTGAGAGAAGGGACCCTCAATTGAGAAAAGACCTCCATAAGGTCAGACAGTAGGCATTTTCTTAGTGTTTGGTGGGGGAGGGCCCAGCCATTCTAGATGGTGACAATATCTGGACTGGTTGTCCTGGGTTCTATATTAAAAAAAAAAAAGTAGGCTGAGCCCTGGGTTGTATAAAAAGCAAGCTGTGTGTAGCGAGCCAATAAAGAGCCTCCACGAACTCTGCATCAACGCCTACCTGCAGGTTCTCACCCATTTGAGTTACTGTCCTCACTGCATCGTAGCAATTATGCTACTAAGACACCCAGGAACACGGATTAATATGTTCCACCATGGAAGCTGGTACATTAGATTTCAGGAGTCATGTAATAAAGTCATGAACAAACATTTACCAAATACATTACTGGAGACTGCAGGTAGGTGGGTTGCTCTCCAGAAGGGAAACCGGTTATAGGTTACAGATAATCTGGGATGTCTAATATTCTTTTCTTTTGATTTAA